CGCGGCGCCTCTGCCCCCCCCCTGACTCTTTGGCTCTGTTTAAGAGCCGGGCTGCCTGAACGCTACCGGCTTCGGGCAGCCCCGTGCCTCCAGACCCTGCGCCCCCGGCTGGGCGCTTCCCCTCCCGGGCACCAGCTGCGCTGGGGAAGCGCCAGCTGGGGGCGCAGAGTCTGGGGGCTGCCCGGCAAACCGTGAAGCCGGTAGCACTGGGGCAGCCCTTTCCCCCTGGCTGGGAGTGGGAGGGAGGAGGGGGCGGAATTAGGGTGGGGGAAGGGGCGGAGTTGGGGCGGGCTAGGGGTGGGGAAATGGGCGGGGCCATGGCCCATGGAGGGTCCTCTTTTTTTATTTATGAGATATGGTAACCCTATGTTAGGTCACTAGATATAAGAGAGAGGAGGAAGGGCTGGCACAGTGCTCTCCATAAGGGCCCTAAGCTGCTGGAATTCACTCCTATCCCTGTTCTAAAATAGCTTAGATTTGTCAACTTTTAGATCATGCCACAGGGACCTTTGCTGCAACTGGCCTCTTGAAGAAAGATGGGGGGTTGAGATATAAGCCAATGTATACATTCAGGGCCGGCTCTGGCTTTTTTGCCGCCCCAGGCAAAAAAGCCACCGGCCGCACCCCCCAGCATGGCAGGGGAGGGCGGCCGGAGCCCCGGGAGGAGGGCAGCGAGCCCCGGCCGGGGCTCCACTCTCCCACCGGCGGCCAGAGCGCCGGGGGGGAGGGCGGCGAGCCCCGGCCGTGGCCCTGCTCTCCCCGGCGGCCGGAGCTGGAGCACCGCACTGCCCCCCTCCAGGTGCCGCCCCAAGCACAAGCTTGGTGGGCTGGTGCCTGGAGCCGGCCCTGTATACATTTGACCGAGAGATTTACTACTCAGCAGACTGGTTTAAAAAATTTTTGTTAGGCAAAACACTTAGTAAGAAATTCTTATTTACTTACAAGTGGGAAGCTCATTAGGATAGTTTCACCACACAGTCACCCCCAACACCGGAGAATATACAATTTCAGCTTTCCATTGTTTAGACTAACTTCTTTATATTTTGAGGGAAGGAAGGCAGGGAGGGTATATCTATGTATTAGTTTATTTTTATGTTAAGATGAATAGCTGTGGATGTAATATAGTGAGTCAGGGAGTGGGGGCTCCAGGTAGCAGCATCACGAAATATGGCACAAAGAGGAGTTTGAGTGTAAGAGGACATGAAGAGCATAGGTAGACATGTGTCTTGAGTGAGTGAATAGAGATGAGTGGAGATGTAGGAAGGACCTGAGCTGTGAAGCACTTTGAAAACAAGGATGAGAAACTTGATTTGATTAATAGGAAGAGAAGAAGCCAATGAAGGGTCTTAAAATTGGTGGGTGGACCTGGGTATTATATTCCAAAAGAAAAAACAAAAACAAAAAATTAGTGGAAAGAATTACTATGGCTAAGGCTATACTACAGTTTAACTCGACTTAAATTATGTCACTCAGGGGTGTGAATTAGCCACCCTCCTCCATGACATAACTTATGCCAATTTAAGCACTGGTGTGGACAGCGCTATGTCAGTGGGGAAAACTTCTCCTACTGACACAGCTACCACCGCTCGCAGGGGCTGGAGCAATTAAGCTGTGCCGCTGTAAGCTCTTTAGTGTAGCCATAACCTATGAAAGTAATGGAGTCCAGCTAACACCTCTCCAAAATATATACTTAAAAAAACCCTGCTATACATTTCAAATGATGTAGTTGTATCAGTCCAAGGATATTAGACAGACATGGTGGGGGAGGCAATATCTTTTATTGGACCAACTTCTGTTGGTGAGAGAGAGAAGTTTTCGAGCAAGACAGAGCTTTTCTTCAGGTCAGAAGAAGAGCTGTGTGTGACTCGAAAGTTTGTATCTCTCACCAACAGAAGTTGGTCCAATAAAAGATACTACCACACCCACCTTGTCTCTCTAATACATTTAAAACGTTGGTCTGGAATTGAACAGTTAAGAGATCCAGCCATTTAACACTGCCTACATTCCTTAATTGCTCACTATAAACCCTCAAGACCGGGTCCAAAGAATAAAGAGCAGAACAGCAAACAAAGGGTGGTTTGCTTAAGTCAAGAAAAAGAGGGGGAGGGAAAATCCCAACTCCTTAACTTAAAGACACTAGTAGGCAGAAAGACCTTCTATGTAAGCAAAATGATCTGTTTCCCAGTGTCTATTGCTTTTCAGTTCCAAATTCTGTTTCTTCCCTGAACTGGAAAGGAGTGACCCACTGTGACTCAGCAATCTCTTGTTGTCAACTGACAGAGGGCACAGGAGGGGCATAGGGTTTTACAGGGATCCTCTGGGTCAGATATATTCATAATGGACCTACCAAATTCACGGTCCATTTTGGTCAATTTCACAGTCATACAATTTTAATATAATAAATTTCATGATTTCAGCTATTTGAATCTGAAATGTCATGGTATTTTAATTGTAGGAGTCCTGACCCAAAAGGGAGTTGGGGGGGTGGGATGTCACAAAGTTATGGTGGGGGGGGTTGCAGTGCTGCTATCCTTACTGCTGTGCAGCTGCTGGTGGCGGCACTGCCTTCAGAGCTGGGCAGCTGGAGAGTGGCAGCTGCTGGCCAGGAGCCCAGCTCTGAAGGCAGAGTCGCCACCAGCAGCAGCACAGAAGTAAGGATGGCATGGTATGGTATTTCCACCCTTACTTCTGCACTGCTGCTGCCAGGGCACTGTCTTCAGGCCTGTGCGCTCAGCCAAGAGCTGCTGCTCTCCACTCAACTCTGAAGGCAGCATAGAAGTAAGGGTGGCAATACCATGACCCCCCTGCAATTCCCTTTTGGGTCAGGACCCCCAATTTGAGAAATGCTGGTCTCCCCTGTGAAATCTGTATAGTATAGGGTAAAAGCACTCAAAAGACCAGATTTCACAAGGGGAGACCAGATTTCATGGTCCATGATGCATTTTTCATGGCTGTGAATTCAGTAGGGCCCCAATAGCTCACCAAACACCCTACACCCCCATGTTCATCCTTATAAAATGGTTGTGTGGTATCCAATGCAAAGTTTGTCATGTCGGTGTCTTTGGAAGACTCATGATGCGCTGAGCATTGTTATAGTAATGTTATAGGTTGTTATTTCATGTATATAGTTATGAGGCTGAAAACGTGTCCTCATGGCTTAAAGCAAGCCCACGCAAAAAAAACTCTCCAAGAGCAGAAGGGCAGTTCACACCTCATCAGGGCAGGTATGAGACTAACTCAGCCCAGCCTCACAGGAACAAAGGACACTGGTCTAGGCAGCAACAAAGGATCTGTTGGACTCTCGAGTCAGTCACCCTGCTTCCTTTGGTCAGTTTGGGACTGCGATGAGGTGATGCTCACCTGACTCTGAAGGGCGTGGGGGGGGCACTAAGCCAAGAGGGAAGAAAAGGACATGATAAAAGGGAAAGACATTTGCTATGCTATGCTCTCACTCTCTCTCTTCCACCTACATCTACAGACACCACACCAAGTGCCTGAAGCACTGATCAAAGGGGAGAGCCTGGCTGAAGGGCAACCAGCCAGCCTGTGGTGAGAAGCATCTAAATTTGTAAAGACATTGAAAGTGTTAAGATCAGCTTAGAATGCATTTTGCTTTATTTCATTTGACCAAATCCGACTTGTTGTGCATGGACTTATAATCACTTAAAATCTCTTTTATAGTTAATAAATTTGTTTATTCAAACCAAATGCACTGTTTCAGGTAGAAGTATGTCAGAGACTCCCCTTGGGATAGCAAGCCTGGTATATATCCATTTATTTGTTAAAATGTCAAACTCATATAAGCTTGCAGTGTCCAGCAGGCATAACTGACACTGCAAGACAGAGGGTTGTAGGATTGTGTCTGAGATACTGGCTAGCGTCATTCGGTTGCAAGTAGCTGGGAGCAGCTTACATGCCAGAGGCTGTGTGTGAACAGCCCAGGAGTGGGGGTTCTCAGAGCAGGGTAAGGCTGGCTCCCAGAGTCAAGGATTGGAGTGACCTAGCAGATCACCAGTCCAGATAATACCAGAGGGGAACGTCACACCCATGCTCTGAGTGTCCCTAGCCTCTCACTGCCAGAATCTGGGAGTGGACAACAAGGGATGGATCATTTAATGATTACCTGTTCTGTTCATTCCCAGGTGCTTCAGAGGAATTGGTCACTGTCAGAAGACAGGATACTGTGCTAGATGGATAATTGGTCTGACCCAGTATGGCCATTCTTGTCACAATCATTGTGAAATGTATGTACAGATAAAATTTAAAGGAGTTATGTATCTATACTGAAAATTATGCTCTTAAACTCTTGGAGTTATGGCAAGTCACCAGGAGGTGATAAACCTCAGAAATGTCCCTTTCAGGCAGGAGGTTACAGATACTCAAAATGGCCAGATGGAGAGATGGGTATTGTATGCCTCACACTGTATGCTATTTGCATACTTAGCTGGGGTCTAAATAAGAGACTGTGAAATCTACAAGAGAGGAAACCTACAGGAACAGCAGAGGGGTGCTCTGTTTATGAGTAAAGATGAAGGATTGTTTTGGTATATCTGGCAATGAAAGAGACATATCGGGTCTTTCACCTAGGAGACAAACAGAGTGTGTCATGAAAGGAGGGTCACAGCCATCCTAGCTGTGAAGATTTTGGGTGAGCAATACTTTACAAGACAGGAGAGTACCTTGTTTATGAAATCTAGGCTCTAACGTGTGTTATGATTTTATTTTATACATAACCACTTGTTTCCAGTACTTCTACTTGCTACTATTTGACTCTGTGCTTTCTTAAATAAACTTAATACTTGATTTCATTATAAACACATTTAACTGCGGTGTGTTAAGCAGAAACATGACCGGGGTGGAACTGGATAGCTGGGGTGTACCGTTACTTTGGAAGCAGCAAATCTGTGAATACTGAAGTGTCCAGTGGACCAGGGGCTGGACATGCTAGGGAGATGCCTGGGGGCGGGGGGCTCAAATGTTGAAGTGTGCCAATCACTAACCTGTAAAGCAGTGGTCCCCAAACTTTTGAGGGTCACACCCTCTTACCCCTGTCTTGCCTTCCCCGAGCCGGGGCTGTGATGGGGCAGGGGAAGATGTGGACACAGACATGGGTAAGGGGACCAAGGCCGGGGCTGCCGCTGGGCGTGGGTCTAGGGCGCAGCCGGGCTGTGGTGGGGGCTGGCGGCTAGGCCTGTGGCCAGGTGCAATTCCACTCCCAGCCTTGCCCCCAATCCTGGTCCCAGATAACAGCAGAACTGGTGGCTAGGAGGGGATGGGTGATGCTCCCTCCCAGTCTCTGTGCAGACTGGCCTGGATCCCGCTGCACCCCCCCAGATGGTCCTTCATACCTTCCTATGGGGGCACACCCCACACTTTGGAGGCCTCTGCAGTAAAGCAACAGCAGGGCCTGCTAGGCCTAGAGGTAAGTGCCTGTGTTGCCCATGGCCACTGCAGTTGGGGAGCTGACCCATTGCAGGCACAGACAAGGCTTCCTCACGTTAAGGGCAGGTGATAGTGAGGTGCCTTACAACCCTAGGAAGTGTCACAACCACCTCTCCCCCAAAAGACCCTGCCCACTAGTCCATGGCCTTTTCTTTATGGCATTGTTCCAGGACAGCATGTAAGCATTAAGTCAAAGATACTTGTGCACAGGCTAAAAGTTAAGCCTATGCTTAAGTGCTATCCTGAATAGGAATTCTTTTCTGAACAGGGACTTATATCATTGCTCTAATGAGACCTTCACTAGCTCTTTCCCTTCCTACTTAATATATCTTTGTAGTACTTCCACTAACACCTCAAACACAAAAAACACCAAAACCAAACAAAAATACCAAGCCACACACATTAATGGGGCATCATAGCCAACAAAATGGATTTGAAATTCATAGGCCAACCCACCATGGAGGTAGGATGAACCAAATATGTTAGAAGATTTTTCAAAGAGCTAATGACAGGGATTTTTTTTTTTTAAAGCACAATATAAATTACTGATCAGTTAATACACTGCAGTGGAATGATAGTAGCTACTCCATAGTTAAGGTTCAGTTTATCACCCAGTTATAAGCCTAACTCTCAACAGTCTATACTACTAAAATAAGCTACTCTGAAATTTCATGTTACAATTCACTGCAGGGTAGCTTTCCCCCTCAAAAATTTAGAAAACATCAGAAAAATCGTTTTAAAAACATGAAGAAATCCTATATTTTGAGGCATACGCAAAGGGAATGGAATAAGCATTCAAACTTTACTCTGCCTTTCATGATCTGAGTGTTTAGATTCTCAAAACTAAAGTTACATTAACCATAGTCCTTTGTATGGAATTCCCTTGCTTTATTTAAAAATAAATATTACCAACTGAATTTGTAAATCTTATTATACTGAGACACCATATTTTAAGTCATATGAAAAAAGGAGCATTGCCTTAATTTTGAATATTTAATTCATCAACTATAATGTCTTAATCGTAGCATATAGTGTGGAATTTAATTACGAGTTTTATTTGAATGTAAGTAATGAAAGACTAAGGTAGGACAGAGAAGACCCTCTACAGTGCCGAGAAGATCCTATAACAATCCAGCCAAAATTATAAGAAGAAACTGTTGATGTTCAGTCAAGAACATAAGAACAACCATACTGGAAACAGTACAGCTAGTCCAGTATCCTGTCTCCAACAGTGGCCATGTTTAGTAGTAAAATTAAACATATGCATAAGTGTTTACAAGGTCAGGGCTTAAGTTGCCCATATGGGAGTGAACAGGAGAAATCATCCCATTAAGGAATGTGAACTTCTGAAGAGACAAAGCTATCAAGTATCACTAATTCTGGAGGAGACTGGGATGTGTGGGGGACATACCGGGATAGGTAGCATAACAAACTGTTTCACTGGGAACAGATTTTAAACCAGTGTTTGGGGAGGATTTGGCTGGTTTTGTTATAAATCTATTCCCGCACATGTGTGAAGAGGACAACTTTTCCCTTCTGGATATATCTGAAAGAGATTTTGCCATGTCCTATACAGTTTCACTCTATCTAGAGATAAGGAAAGGAGCAAAAGTTTGTGGTTTTCCATTACAACAGTGGTCTCCAACCCTTTTTGCCCAGGATCACTTTTTGAATGTAAGGGCAACCCAAGATCTACCCTGCCCTTTCCCCAAAACCCCACCCTGCTCACTCCATCTCCCCCTCCCATCACTTGCTCTCCCTCACTCATTTTCACCAGGCTGGGGCAGGGATTTAGGGTTCAGGAGGGGGTGCAGGCTCTCGGCTGGGGCCAGGGGGTTCACAGTGTGGGAGGAGGCTCCACACTAGGACAGAGTGTTGGGATGCAGAAGGAGATGACGGGTGCAAAGTCTGGGAAGGGGTCAGGGCTGGGGCAGGGGGTTGGGATGCAGGAGGGGGTACAGGGTTCTGGGAGGAGGCTCAGGACTGGGGTGCGGCGGGGGGGGGGCAGAGCTGTTGTGTGTGTGTCACGGTCTCTCTGGGGTAGGGGAGCTGTGCTGTCTCTCTCATGGTGTCTCTATGTGTAGGTCTCACGGTTTCTTGGGGATAGGGGGGCTGCGCTGTGTGTCACGGTCTCTCCCCACGGAGGGGGAGAAGCTGCGCTCTGAGTCGTCTCACGGCCTCTCCGGGGTGGGGGAACTGACCCGGGAGGGGGTCGCAGGGGAAACATGGGCTGTGCGTCTCGGAGTCTCTCCAGGGCGGGATGCCCCCACCTGTCCCGGCCCAGCAGCCCCGCTTTTCGCTGTCACTTGCAAGTGACTCGGCCCGGTGCCCAGTAAGAGCGGGGAACCCGCTCGCAGCTGCAGGATCCGGGTCACCCCCCTTCCGCCCTCCCGGCGCAGGAGTAACCGGCCCGGCCCGGCCCGCTCCTACCTCAGGGCGGCGGCCAGTCCGGGTGCCGCGGGCTCTCGAGGCCCGGTTGGGGCGAGGTGGCCGCTTTAGGCTCCGGCTGCCGCTGCCTCCATCCGCCCGGCTCACCTGCAGCGGGAGGAGCCACGGGCGGGCGAGCCAACGGGGGAGGCCACTCCCAGGGAGCCGGGGTGGTGCCGCGTGCCGTTATCCCTGCTCCTATTGGGCGCCTGACTCAACAGCCCCCTGGTGAAAAATGACGACATCGCCAGCTGCCAAGCCGCTACCTCCCTTTGTACCGGTTGCTGAGTGCAGATGCGGCTCCTTTAAGCGCAATATCACATGGGATTTGTAGTTCCTAGATCGCCCTGTCAGCAAACTGCCACCCCCTTTTGCGAGCAGTGCTCTCTGGGAGATGTAGTCCCGACTCGCCGGCGCGGTGCACGGTGGGTAACAGTCTCCGGCTCGTCGGCCCGGTGCATCATGGGAGATGTAGTCCCCTGTGCCCCTCCAGTCGGGCGCCGACTTTCCAGTGCCTGTGGCGCGGCGACGAGGCGGGGACTGCTGCTCCCAGAGAGGCGGCCGGGACCCAGGGCCCGCTTGCCGGCGCCGCTCAGCGATAGGTGGCTGAGGAGAACCGGTGCGCGCCTGCGCAGGAGGCGGCGGCGCTGGGCAGTGAAGTTGGTCAAAGCGCCGGGGATAAGATGGTAGGTGGGAAAAATGCCCCCACCCCCCTTTCTCCCGATCCCGGCGCCGCGGCCCTGCCCGGAGGGGGCGCCGTGGGGGGACAGCGCCCGCCGCCCCTGCCAGCGCGGAGCCGTGTTTCCTGCTGCGGGGTCGGCGGAGGGAAGGTCACCGGGCGCGGGGCCGGAGGGAGAGGGACAGAAGCGCGGAGAGGGAGGGCCCCGCCAGGGCCGGGGGGGGGGTAGTGAGGGTCCCGGGGAGCTGGGGGCAGAGCCCGCGGCGTGAGGCGCCCGGCCGGGAGGGTCCCGTGGAGGGGGGTGGAGCGACGCTGTGGGTATTTTGAGAGCTGGGCCTGGGAGCAGCGGCACGTACTTGCCCTTTTTTGGGCTTTGGGCTTCCAAGGCAGGAGGCTGGAGCCCGAGTCCCCTCCTTCCCCCCCCCCCCCCCCGTCCCCCGGTCGTCCGCTTTTGGGAGGGTGGGCCGGCCCAGGCCGCGCCCCCAGCGGAATTGGGCTGCACAGGTTTCGGGGGTTGGGAGTTTGCAGGGCCTTGGGAAGCCGCGAGGAGCTCCCTGCTGGGGTGGGGGGAAACGGAGGATTTAAGTCGGCTTATGGGGTGTCTTCATTTGTGCTGCACGTGTCTGTGCTGAGCTTGGGGAAGGTGGTTTAGGGAGCTCCAGGGAAACTCCCCTCTCCCATATCACTTGGAGTGGTTGCGCCACTCTCGTTGCTCACGGACTTGCTCAGTGTTGTTGTTTTTTAAGGAAAGAAAGTTAGACGAGAATGAAAAATCATCCATAATATGGAAATTGGAAACCCTCTTTCAGCTCTAACTGTGAAATCACAACCGTGACTCCATAAATTGTTGTCAAAGAAGGGTATTGTCATTTTCCTCAGGGGAGGCTCCACTAGTTAAGCTGGCAAGTTTTCTTCTAGCCCACCACAGTCCCCAAAGAAAGTCAGCCTAGCGAGTACAAATCCATTGCACTGGGAAACTCCTATCAGGATAATACCAAAGCTTAAATTGTATTTGGGCACCTCGATGTGATTATGATTGGCAAAATAGAAATGCATCTATAGATTGTTATTGGAATAAATATTTGACTGATTATAGGGGAAATATATGTTCATGCAAAAGAAAGCAGGTTTATGTCCCACTGAGCAACATTCCAAGGCCCTATCACTGCTGTGCAAGAACATAATTGGAAATCCCAGAAAAGTAACAGGAATTTACAATTAATTAAAAGGTGATCAAAGCCATTTCGGAAAGAGTCCGAATTAGGCCTCATCTTGCAACATCTGTTTTAAATAGGTGATTTATTTTAACAATTTTTAGAATTTTGGTGGTGATGTGGCAGATTGTACTTTTCAAGTCAGAGTACATAAAGTATTTCACCTCATTGTGACCTATTACAAAATATACATACTATGTTGCGATCATTTAGAAAGAAGACATGCTAGAAAAAATGATTTCTATGTATCTTTTTTAAAAATAAAGAATCTGTTCATGTATGTAATTTAAATGGGACGTAAACTGTGTTTTGGAGAACAATTCTGCATTGGCAGAGAGGTGAAGTGAATGATCATCTTTACCATCTCTGTCCTTTTGAAGCAGAAAAGAGACAGGTTACTTCAAGTTCATAGACCTTATATATATGACATAACTTGTAGTTTGCGTGTAATATCCTGGGACAACATGGCTACAAGAGAGACAAGGTGGGTGAGGTAATATTTTTTTATTGGATCAACTTCTAGTGGTGAAAGCTTGTATCTTTCGCCACCAGAAGTTGGTCTAATAAAAGATATTACCTCACCCACGTTGTCTCTAACAACCATGACAACTAAAAGTTATATTACAGATTCCTATCGTGAAGTCACCCAACACTAAATTAATTGTAACTTAGAAAGACTCTTGTTTAAATGTACAAGATTTTATTGTAGAAAAATTTCTTATATTTCTACTTCAAGAAAAATTTAGGATTTTTTAAAATATAAATAGATGTACACAATATCTCCAGTAGGGAAACAACAAAGATAATTTAACATTTCCTTTGAAAAATCAATTGCAATTATTTCTGTGGCTATAAAGTTGTTCCCATTTTATGAGTATTCTTTTCTGTATTTTTTCAATATTTAGAAAATAAATTTATGAAGGAAAGAACAAAGTCCCTTTCTTGTGCATATGATGCACTTCTTGTCTTATATCATCTGCAATAATCTTTTAATGATATGACTATATGTAGAGTGTATAAAAGAGTTAAGGGTGGAGTAGAAGATGTATGTATATTTAAACTGTAGTGTCACATTGAACATGAAACAGTGATGTGCAGTCAGGGCCGGCACCAGCTGAGCAAGCTGGTGCTTGGGGCGGCAGATTGTTGGAGGCGGCATTCTGCCCAATCCTAGGGCGGCACAGCAGCTTGTTGTTGTTGTTGTTCTTGTTCCGCTCCGGCCGCCCTGTAGGGGGCGGCGGCGGCGTGGAGAACCAGAGTGCCCTGCAGGGCAGTCCTCTTCCTTCCCTCCCCGCCGACCGGAGCGGAGCCCTTGCGGCAGGCGGCAGGAGGTGGCGCAGCGGGAGGGGCCGTGCGGCAGCGCCGCTGTTGTAGCCCTGGTTGCCCCCTTCTCTCTCTCTCTCCCGCCCACTCCCTCTCCCTCCAGCCAGTCCCCCTGCACCCGCGCTCCAGCTGCGCCGCAGGTTTTTTTTTGCTTTGCCGTTCTGGCCACCCCGTTTTTTGTTTTTGTTTTTGTTTTTTTGCTTGGAGTGGCCAAAAAGCCAGAGCCGGCCCTGTGTGCAGTAGAATACATTATAAAAGCTTGTTCTAATAATTAGGTATTAGCAAGTCAATGCGTCACTTTACACTGTTGTTAAATACTAGGGTGAGCAAATTATGAAGTGTTTACCCAGATAACTTAGTTATCTACCCAGAAACATAACTTGTACTGTACTAACTATGATGAGTAAAAGAGATGTATTGAAACCCAAAGAGAGTTTGATTTTTTTTTTTTAAAGTTACTTTATGTACAGCAGAGAATAATGGTAAAACACATTGGTAGCAGATTTTTGCTCTCTTTCAAACCTCTTTCCCCCAACTCCTGTATTCTCCAGAAGTATCCTCTGGGAACATAGAGCTATGGTTTGCCGCAACTCATTGCCATTGAGAAAAACATTTTATGGTTCCTATAAACCCTATTTTCTACTGAATAAAAGTAATCAATTACATTGGTTAATATAAACATCTCTTCTATTGTCAGAACATATTAAAGCTTTTGACTAGATTTACAAAAACTTTTTGTGAACTCATAATATTGAGTGAATCTCTTGCTTGGCTTCTTTATCAGTTTTATTTCCTTTTGAGCTCACTTTTTCTGAAAGCAACAGTGAACAAGTTCCCAGTGTTAAAATTGAAAAGTGCTTTGTAACTTTAATTGCCTTAAATAATCAACTGGAAAACACTATTGTTCACTAGCACTAAAAATTAATTAGGAAAAATCTTAAGTCAACTGTTAAACTTTTTAGATATTTCTCAAGGCCTTTATTTACAGAATCTCTGATTTTTGTATGACTCATACCTTTGAAACATATTTTATCATTAATAATAGACTTTTTTTCAGCGAATAGACCCAATTGTCATAACAGTAGTATTTTAGAGTTTTTAACCAAATAATTCTGAATACCTGGAGATCAAACAATTTTCATACAAAACAATTGTGTGTACGTGAGCAGGAACACAAATTTGAATTTATTGTTGCCAGAATATTTGCGACTAAAATGTACATACAGATGCTGTCATTTCAGTTTCCAGAAGTGCTGTCTTTTTAACTGCAGAAGAGCAAGGCTTTGTCTTCCTTTAATTCTGAAGTGAAACTTGTCACACACCAAGAAAACTAAACCCCTTTAAAAGATAGGTATTAGTAGTAGAATGCTGAAACAAACTTCTGGATTAGCTTCATTGGCTTTCCTGCTTCTTTTGCATCCCAAAGCATAAGCTTAAATCGTCTCAGAAGGACAAGGTCCGCCAGTTTATGGCATTTACCCAGGCTGGTGAAAGGACTGCTATATATTGCTTAATGCAGAATGAGTGGAAACTAGAAGTGGCAACAGACAACTACTTCCAGAACCCAGACTTGTACTACAAAGAATCCATGAAAAATTCAATAGACAGAAAGAAATTAGAACAATTGTATAACCGGTACAAAGGTAAGGATCACTCTTTTAACTATTTCATTTCAATTACGTTTCTACTTTAAATTTTTGCCACTGATAACATCTTTTAAGACTGCTAATGCAATATCCTACTTTTAATTTTCTATCTGTATGTAGCTGTAATAGGAGACTCTCTGGAATGTAAGGCTGTTTTTTTTCCTTCTTCTTCTTCTTGCATGTCTTATGTTCCCTATGGAAGTCCAAAATTTTGTTTTATAAAGTATAAATCACCTTAACAATAGGAAGGACTGCATATGAAGTTAGAAAAAAAAATAGACTAAGATCAGTTACTTATGGACTTGACCATGGCTCTGTACAAGCACATTATGCACAGTATTTGATCTCTTGTCCATGAAATCTGTTAAGGAATTTTCGTATGTGATGTTACTTTGCATGGTAAAATTATGGCTGTAATTTCTCTATTAAATGTTTAAGTATAGTTGAGATAAAAGGGGGTAATCTTTTATTTTAAACCACAAGAACACTTTCAGCTACAAGAAAGGGTCTGATAACAGTATTAAGCAAGGAAACTCAGAATTAAGGTTGAAACTCCATCCTTAATTTACCCTTTGTGCTTGCATATTACATCATAAATGATATGCCAGATCACCTGCTGTTTAGATATGCTAGGAAAAACATACTCACAAGGAAGTGAATTAAAGGTGGAGTTGTGTTTTATTTTCCATTTCTTTTTTATTTTATGGTAGTGTTTAAAAGAAGAGGAAAAATAAAAGGGGAAAAAATGGCCATGGAAGTGTAAGAATTGACGTGATCCAGTGTAAGAGCTCCTTTTGAAATGTTAATATTTTATATTAATGCATGTAAATGTTTATTGAATAGAATGAAGCAGCTCTGAATCATTACTATCTGTTGCTTAAATCTAAATCTTCATCTAGACATTTTTTTAAATGGATATTTGACCAGACTTTTGTCTAGTCTGAATCCTTTTTAAACCTACTATATGGTTATGATTTTTGCCAGAATTGCTTTGTATGTACATTAGTCTCTTTCATATTAATAACTACACTATTTTGAAAGGTTTTAAACACCATAAAGGCTTGTTCCATATTACAGACAGATGATCTTCAAAATTTCATTTTAAAAACATAAGGTTGCATTGAGTTGTATGAGCACAGAGATTGAGGCAAAACTGGAACATTTGTGTGTACTTGTAGAAGTTTACTAAACCACTTACTTGGTTTAATTTTGCTTTTATTTATATCAGTCCTTGGCTTTTGTTTGCCAATTTTAAAGGAAGCTGAGGTTAAATATATATATATATTTACATTCTGAACGGTTACCATACTTGAATACTGAAGGAATTTTATGAATCTTATTTAGCTTTCATTATTTGTGCTGTTTACTTTTCTACTTCATTTCAGTTTGTTGAAAGAAAATAGTCTAGTCAGTTTTGTTGTTTTCATGCATCAACACAATATTGCAACATTGTTAGGACTGAAAAGGCTGTAAGGATATATGTAAATCTAAACAAATTTTCAGATAAATTAATAAGGGAAAAATTTATCATGAAAGAGTTTCTATTCATATTAGTATTTTTAAACATCTTTTTTTTTTTTTTGTTAAACAGAAACTAAACTTTGTACCTTAGCTGCCTGGCCAAAGTTCCTTTTTAAGCCCTTAGAAAGGGTTTGTTTATAGAACCTAAAGAAAAATGTGTAGATGGCATCATGTTTGAAATGTGAGATGACACATCTTTCATTGTCCAACTGTACTATTGTTTAAGTGTTTTTTGCTTTTTTAGTGAGTAACATCCAAATCAAATCAATGCATGTTCGTTTTTATTATTCCCTCAGTTGCCCAGTACACCTCTACCCTGATATAATGCAACCTGATATAACACGAATTCAAGTCTAATGCGGTAAAGCAGCGCCCCTGGAGGGGCGAGGCTGCGCACTCAAGCAGATCAAACCAAGTTCGATATAATGTGGTTTCACCTATAACGCAGTAAGATTTTTTGGCTCCCGAGGACAGCGTTATATCGAGGTAGAGGTGTATTGTGAATAATAACACTAAGAGTGGGATCTTGTCTTCTTTGAAGCCAGTGGGAGTTTTACCATTGGCTTCACTGGAGACAAAATTTCACTGGAAATATTATAAGAATAATTTTAAAACTTAATAAATCAAGATATTCTCTTGGAGCCTGATCCTTACAACACACTAGATAGCTTTACTCTTTCCTCCAACACTTAGTTCCATCGATTTCAGTGGAATTACACCCGGGAGAAAGATAAGCAAGTAGTAACTGCTGCATCAAGTCCTTATTTAATTATTGGCTACTTTTAATCTTTAGTCATTCAGAAACCTCTGGGAAACCAAAGCGATGTTAAAATGAAGCTGCATTTTAAGGCCCTGATCTTGCAGTCTGATCAGATTGCAGGATCAGGGTCTAATAAAGGACTGAACAGTTGAAGTCTATACCAATTAGTTATCCAAAATATCAAACTTAAAAGAATATTTCAGTTGCATTTTAACTGTAGCTGTAATATAGTAAGCTATTGTAATTAAAGAAAAACTTATGACTTGTTGCATTTAAATTTGGGGAAAACAGTTCTGTATTTTGAGTAGTACATATTGTATATGAAAAATAGAAGGGTAACTTTGAAGTTACTACTTGTGTGTAACCATAGTACATTTTTAAGAGAATCCTGCATTATAGTGTAATTGCTGTTCTATAGCAAAATAAAATAGTTGCCATGCCTGTACTGTACTAACTATGATGAGTTATCTACCCAGAAACAGTACAGTAACTGCTTCTTTTTAATCATTTCTTAGGGTCAGACTAATTAAAAATCCAATATAATTTTCATGAAGGATTTGTTTGGGGGTTTTGTTTGTTTGGGGTTTTTTGTTAGATTTAGTTTTCCATATTAAATTTTTATAATTATGGTTGTGACATAAACTGACACTGGCAATTACAATGTGTGGTTCTATCCTAAGTGGTAACCACTTATTATTAAACAGTTATGTACGTCACAGTGGTGCTGAGTGGTCTCATCTAGGTTGAGGCCTGTTGTGCTAGGCACTAAATAAACATTGTGTCTCATTGATTTGGTCACTTTGCAAGTATTTAAAACAAACTAACAAAAAAATACCCCCTCACTTCCAGCCTCCCAAATTAATCCTGGGCTCTGAGATTTAAGTTCTTCTCTTCTCATACATCACTACCAGGAAAAAGAATCTGTAGCTAAATTTGGTGTTTCTCCTTCACCTGTTGTAGTGTTCTAACCAGCAAATGCCTTATCTACTTGTGCATATTATAGCACTCTGAGTATAATCAATTTCAGTATTTCTTCCCTATAGTTAGGCAGTTCCACCTATTGTTTTTGTGGGGCTTTCACACAGCAATGGGGAGAAGGGGAAAATATCTAAGGGGTAATCATTATTTTTAAAAATAATTTAAAAAACCACAAAAATTGGCAGGGGGTCTTTGGAAGATATACCTTTTAACTCACTTTTTGAAATAGACTGGATTTCAAATTGATGTCCTAATTAAGAATGAATATATTTGAGAAGTACTCGTACAATAGCTTCTGCACTGCAGCATATCAAAACTGTTCAGATCATTAGTCTGTAGGAAAGTTTTTAATATGTTTTGTAATACTTTTTATATTTTTGACTGCAGACCCACAGGATGAAAATAAAATTGGTATTGATGGAATTCAGCAGTTTTGTGATGATTTAAGCCTGGACCCTGCCAGTATCAGCGTCTTGGTCATAGCATGGAAGTTCAGGGCAGCCACTCAATGTGAATTCAGTAAAAAGGAATTTGTAGATGGCATGACAGAGTTGGGGTGAGTGTATCAGTTTTCTTTGTAGTTAAAAACTTTTTAGGGCCTGAGCCAACTCCCACTGAAGTCAATGGAAAGCTGGATCAGACGTCAAGCTTTTAAAACATTCCATGGATTTGCTCCGTGCTATCCTTAATTTAGACTGAATTGACTTACTCTCCAGTCTCCACTTCTCCAGTCTACCATCCCCCTGTCACTTTCTTCTAAGTTTGTTTGTGCATTTTTGTTCACTTGTTCTGGGTATTTATCTTAATAATGTCTTTTCTTCACATCTCATCTTAATTTGTCTGATTCTTTGCCGTTTCCTCACTCACCATAGCTAGTAGGAAAATACTTCTATATTTCAGTTTCCTCTTAGTTTTTCCTTCACCATATGTCTTTCCCTTTTATTTGTATGATAGTTGCTGTACCAAGTTCTGTGAGTGTTCTCTCTTTATTCCACCTTTATGGACCATGAATCCCAGAAGTTAGTATTTTTGCTAGAATGCGGCAATAGCAACATTCTAAATATCTGCTAATGGTCTAATTAGATTAAAATAAATATTTCCGTGATATTAAACTTAAGAACTCCAGCTGTAGTTATTTGTATAAGGTAGCACCTAGGAACCCCAGTCATGGACCAGAGCCCCATTGTGGTAGGCACTGCGCAAACACATAATAAAAAGACAATACCTGTCCCCAGAGAGCTTATAGCGTAAGCAAAATGTAAACAGAAACAGAGGTGAAATGACTTGCTGAAGATTACATAGCAAGTCATTGGCATGGCTGGGAATAGAATCCAGGTCTTTTGACTCCCAGTTCAGTGACCTTTCCACTATACTATATTGCCACTCCAATTAGGTAAATTTGTTATATAGTCTGAAAAATGATTTTGTGAAAAGTGGTATTGTGTGGTTCCATATTCATTTTTTACTGAGTGGCTTCCATTGCTGATTTGCTCAAACTGCAAATTTAAATGATTTGTCTCACTAAACCAGGAATTTTAAATTGAGCTGTATTCCTGCAGTTTCTCTCAGCACTACTAGGGTTACCATTCGTCCGGATTCCCCCGGACATGTCCGGCTTTTTCGGGTTAAAAATAGCGTCCGGGGGGAATTTGTCAATGTCCGGACTTCCCCTCCTCCCCCCCCCTCCCATGCAGAGCGTGCGCGCGGCTTACAGAGCAGCCGGTGCTCCAACAGCCAGAGCCAGAGCCCTGCTTGCACTTCCCCCTCCTCTCTCCTGAAACTTGACACCACTCCCCTCCTCCCCCTCCCTCCCCCCGCCCTGCACTCACAGATCACCGGCCGAGCCTGG